GGGGCGGGGCGGGGGCGGGCTGGGGCGCGCGCCTCGCCGCCCCGGCGGCTCCCGGGGGCCCCGGCCCTGGACCCCCGCCCCCGGCGCGCGGCGCGGCCGTCCCCGTGCTCCCGCCAACTTCGCGGAGTGCGCTCCTGGGGCGCGGGGTGTGGGCGCCGCGCTAACCCGCCGGGACCCCGCTCGCGAGTCCCCGCGGTGCAGACTCGGGGCGGACAGAGCCCTGAGCGCAGCGGCCGGGGCGTGGGGGCTTCCTCGGGGCGGCCGGCCGGCCTTGCTGCTCGGAGCCCCCCTGGGCCCGGGGAGCAGGCCCGAGACCCCTCACCCGAGACCCTGGGGGCCGGAGGGTGCCTGGTCTGCGGGCGCGTGGGGCTGGGGACTGCGACGCGCCGTCGGGCTCGCCGGGACCGTCCGGGCGGCTGCGCGTCACGTCAGACCCGGACGGAAAACTTTCACTCCGGGGTGGGCTTGCTCTCCCCGGTTTTCTCTTCCGACTTTGTTGGATGAGACAGGGCGGACCGCTCTCACCTCCGTAGGGCCCCGGCGGGGATTGGGGACGGTGCACCTGCCAGGGCCCAGGCACCGGGACTCTTAGGACGTGGCGTTTCAGTCTGGGCTCGCCAAGTTAGGGCCCACAGACTCCGCATGGGGTCCTGCCGAAACGGGCGGGGCCCCTGAGGCCGGAGAGGACAGGGTTCCCCCCAGACAGGCACAGCAGGCGGGGGGCGTGTTCTGCATGGTTCCGGAGCTGTGTGTGGGGTTAGGGTTTAGCACAACACGTTGGGAATGGCCGTTCTCCGGCACGCGTGAGGGGCAGCAGCAGGTCCTGCATTTGCACCGAAGAGGGTGTGGGTGTCTGGGTGCAGGGCTAGATCTCAGCAGCCAGTTGTGCTGGGTGGCTGGTTGCAAAGGGTCCTTAGACAGTTCTCCTTCCTTAGGGGGCGTTTAGGGAAATGGAGGCCTCCTGGGGGTGGTGGCTGACCTGGGAGATCAGAGGCAGAAGCCAGGTGGGTGTGTGGGCGCTCCTGGCTCAGGGGTGCAGGGGCGTGTGGGCAGCACGCTTGCCCGGCTGAGCCGGGGTTGTGGGTCTTGACTCTGCCTTGCAGGGGGCAAGGCCCCTGAAACCTGCAGAGCCAGCCCGCTGCCCAGGGTGTCCCTTTCCCACCTGTTGACTGAGTGCGCTGGTGCCCCGTAGAGTGAGTTTGTGTTGGTTTCCCAGGAGAAGGTCCGTGTGTGAGCTCCACGTGTGCCTGGCTCTTTGCGAGGCCCGGGGCTCTGGCTGTGAGCGCAGGTCCCGCAGTGCCTGTCCTAAAGGGCCTGAGAGGCTGGTCACTAAAAGGTCGGCAGGTGTGGAGATGTCTGAAGTGATGAGCCACAGTCAGCCTCTGCCCAGGACGCCTGTGGTGGTGCCGGAGCCTCCCATGTTTTGTGACCTTGGGCAGGTGACTCAGTGTCCACAGCTTTAGTGCCCCCATCTCTGAAATGGGAAATGGGAGTGTCCTGGAGGCAGGCGTTCTCCTGATATCTTGGCCGAGTGTCTGATCCTTAGAGAGTCACTGGTAACGAGTGGTCTCTCACCAGTGAGGACGATGGTTTGTAAGCTGCCAGCACGCGCCGACTTTTCTCATTGCTGGAGTCGCCATCAGCGCCACGTGGGAAGGCGGGAGAGCCGCGTGTTGTCTGCCTCACGGTTCCAGTTGAGTGTCTGAAAGGCCTGTCTTGGTCTTGGACTTAAAATCCTGCAGGGCTTTCTTTCGTCCTCCCCGGGACCCTCGGCTCAGTGATGCGGTCCCTGCCATCTCCCCCGCCGCCGCTCTTGGGTTCCTGTCCGTCTCCGCCTCGGAGGGACTCCTCTGTCTCGTCTCCGTGCGGTGCCTGCTCCTGCTTGTTTGCTCTCTGTGTTCTGCTGAGACTGGTGACTCGCGCGGGTGGGGACAGGCAGAACCTGTTTCCCCATGGACCGCAGGGCACCCAGGGCCTGTCTCCTCACCTGGCCCGGCGTAGGTGTTCCGTGGACTGTGGGGCTCTTCCTCTTAGCTGTCGTGTATCGCTGTCAGACTCGTGGCGTCAGAACAGTGATTGGCCTCACTCAGGCCCCTCGTGCCGTGGCCGCCGTGGCCCTCAGTTGCTGGCTGGGGCTGGAGCCGGCCCCGGGGAAGGAAGCGTCCCTGCTCACATGTGGCTGGGACCCCTCCCCATGGCCTCTCTGTGTGGCTTGGGCTTCCTCACAGCGTGGCGGCTGGTGACTGTCCCAGACGATACCCGATGGAGACTGAGCTGCATTTTAAGTCACAGGGAGCCCCTGCCCCAAGTCCCTGGCCCATCTGGGTCTCCAGGGAGGGGGCCCAGGACTCTGCTTCTGGAAGGGGGAGGCATGCCCGGGTCCCAGTGGGAGGAGAGCACGTGGGGCCGCCATGGCGTCGCTGTGGGTTATGCCGGGAAGGGCAGTGGGAGGAGCTGGACGCTGCCGGAAGAAAGGCCCTGCATTCCAGTCTCCTGGTGGCTGGCCTCCGCATCGGAGCCGTCGGGGCCCCACGAGACAGGGCTGAAGAGCTCGCTTGTCCTTGGGGAGACCTGGGTTCCCCGCTCCTCTGGGGCCCCATCTCTACTGTTCCTTTTCTCCTTCCTCCCTTACTTTTTTTTTTTCTAACCTGAAATTCCTTTAGCCCGCTCCCCGTCCTGTTTTTTCTTCCATTTTAGCAAAGCGGGTGGCTTTGGCCCTGCTGGAAACATCCACAGTGCTCTGAACAAAGGCCGTAGAGGGCCTGGGAATCCCACTGTTGAGGGTGGGCTTATGTCTAGAGATCAGATGTTGGGGCAGGGGAGGGAAGAGAATCATGAAGTCAGTGTTCCTTGGCGAATGTCGAGGAACCTCGAGTCATCTGGGAACGAACCTGGAGATCTGAGGCCACGGGGTGCTCCGAGCAGCCCCCCCACCCCTGCCCCTGGGAACGGGCCCCCGTCGTAGGGACGGAGCATCCCTGCTGCTGCTCTTCCTGTCACTCCCAGCTGTTTCTCTGCTTGAGCCTCTGTGTCAGATAAGGGCCACGTCCTCTACCGGGGACCGCAGACTTCCACACCTGAGGTCCTCCTGCGGGTGGGGCCAGCATGGGAGCAGGGGCAGCTCCCCCTGGACAACAGGCCGTCCAGACTCTGCCCTCGCTCGGTGTCCCCTGTTAGAGCTCTGGTGGCTAGAGACAGAAAGCCCGCCCTGGCTGAGGTGGGAGAGGGAGCCCAGGAAGGCTGCGGCTCAGCATTCTGGAGGGTTAGAGAGGGCCTGGGTGATTTCAAAGGACACGTAGGGTGCTGGCCCCGTGGGTGCACACTGTGTGGACTGATGACAGCCCCCCCCATTCCCTGGGAGACGAGGCCGCCTGCAGCAGACCCCTGTGCTCCACTCCATGCCTGTTTCCAGCCCCTCCTGCCGGGTCCCAGCTCCACACCCCGCCACGGGCTCAGCCACCCTGGGGCTGCGCTTCCCAGGACCTGCCTGCTCAGAGCTCCGAGCTGCGTGTGCTCCTGGCAGAGGTTGTGCACACGCACACACATGCGCACACACGCGTGCACACACATGTACACACACACGTGCGCACACGCACACGTACATATGTGCACACGCACACATACATACGCGCACATGCATACACCCACGCACACGCACGCGCACACACGGACGCGCACACGCAGGTACGCGTGCACGCACACGCACGCAAACACGTGCTCACACTCCTCACCCCCAGGGAAGCGGGGGATCATTCCCTCCCGGCCTCGTGGTCCTTGCCTTTGTAGCGCGGTCCTCATCGGCCTCTGCCGGCCCTGCTTGCCCGCCGGTGCCTGGGCTCTGCCTCCCCGCTGCGGGCTGTGCCGTTGTCTGTGCAGCGGCGCGTCTGCAGAGGGTCTCTGAGTCAGCGCCTGAGGGACGCGGCTTCTGTGCCGTGTGAGCTGGATTAGCGACCTGATCTCTCTGAGCTGTGGCTCCTCATTTCTCCTGGGAGGAGAAGGATCACACAAGGGCTGGAGGTTCTCTCGAGGATCCAGTGAGGGCCTCCTGAGAAAGCTTTCTGCATGTCCTTAACTTGACTTCATTATTCAGATCTCGTGCACGTGTGCACATGCGTGTGTGCATGCCTGTGTGCGTGTCCGTGTGCACGTACGTGTGCGCGCGTGTGTACAGGTAGCTTAGCTGAGGTTTATTCGTACGGTTCTCTCGTTCTTGTGTGCAGAGTTCAGTGGTTTTTCAGCACATTTGGAGCTGTGTGACCATCAGCGGTCACCTTTGGAACATGGAATATCCCCAGAGCAGCCCCATCCCATCAGCCATCCCCCTCCCCCCCAATCCCTGGCCCCCGTGAGCCACCTTCCTGTCCGTGGACGAGCCTGGTCTGGACGTGTCGCATGCGTGGACTCACACTCCATGTCGCCTCCTGTGTCTGGTTCCCTCCCTGAGCACTGTGGGCTCGGGGTCCATCCCTAGAGCAGTGCATGGGGGCCTCGCTTCTCGTGGCGGCTGGGGACACTCATGGTTCTGCTTGTCTTCCTCAGCTAGTGGACATTTGTGTCCTTTCCATCTCTGGCTCTTGTGAAGGTCCCACCGTGGAAGTCCACATGAGACCTTTAGTGGACCTGTGTGTTCCTTCTCCCTTGGACATCCCTCCCCTCCTTGGTTTCCGGGTGGAGTTAGACTGACAAGGGGCAGACGATCGAGAGAGAAGTAAGCGCAGTTGAGGGACGCACGTAGCACACGTCCTGCAGGAGCAGCACAGGGCGTCACCCGGGGGTGGGCAGGGCTCGGGCTCCTGTGGCCATCTCTACAGAAGCGCAGCCCCCGTGGACCGAGTGTCATGACGCAGAAGGACTCGGAGTCTGTCTGGGCCCCAGGTCATGGGAAGCCGGATACGCGGGAGCTGGTGGAAGGCCAGGCTGGTCAGTCAGATGTGTCTGTGCAGGTGAGCTCGGTGCTGAGCTGCTCCCTACCTGGTTTGGGGGCGGGAGGGGGGGCACCCACTCGGGGACCTACGCCTGCCTTGAAGTGGGCCAGGCCAACACAGACCCCATCCTGGGTCTGTCTTTGCTTGGTTGACTTCGTTTCTGAGTGACCCGTGTGCTGGGCTGACCCCTCGTGTCCGGCGAGTGGTGGATGTGCCGGGTGGTCCGTCACCGTGCTGGCCTTCTGTGGGGCCGCCGAGCGCCTGCCCGCCTTGCGTGCCCTCCTTTGCTTGGCTTCCTTCCGAGGAGCCCTTCTCCTTGTGCTCATGGGCCACCGAGTGTGTCTCTGGGGAAGTTTGGATCTTTTCCCCATTTTGCCTTTCCATTCGTGAGTCATAGTGGGTCCCTTTCCGTGATCCGCGGACCCTGACTGCCTCTGAGGGCTGTCTTCTCGCCTCCTCGTTGATGTCCTGTCCGGTGGAAACTCTGTTGATGTGCTTTTCCTCTCATTGCCTGTGCTTTTGGTGCTCTGAGAAACCGTGGTGTGTGTCCAGGGAGACAGGGTTATTCCTGTGTTTTCCTCTAAGAGCTCCGTGGTTTTAGCTCTCACCCTGAAGGTCTTGGGTCCATTCTGAGCTCACTTGTGTGCAGTGCGAGCAAGCACGTGGTGGCCCTCCTGTCGTCCCAGCACCATGTGTCACACAGACTGTTCTCCACGGAGCCGTTCTGTCCCCTTGTCGAGATTCAGTCGGAAGTGAGACGGTGGGTTTGTTTCTGGGTTCTCAAGTCTGTCCTTTTGATTCGTCTGTCCAGCTTCATGTCAGCACCACGCTGTTCTGATCTCTGTAGCTTTGTTGTACTTTCAAACCAGGAGCTGTTCTACCTCAAGATTGTTTTGGCTTATCTGGGTCCCTTGACTTTTCCTATGAAGTTTGGGATCTGTTCGTCAGTTTCTGCATGGAAGCCAAGGGGGGCTCTCCCTGCTGAGGCCTCTTCCTGGGGCTGCCCGGGCCGTGGGGCTCTGCGCTGTACGTGCTCCCAGGTGTCCAACTTTGCTTCTCTTCCTCCGCAGGCCTCCTCACTGGAAAGGCAGAGCCCCGGTGTGGCCTCCTGCCTCGCTCACAGCCTGTGCCCCGGGGAGCCCAGCCTGCAGACAGCAGCAGGTACCCTCCTTGCCCTTCCCCTCCCCTGCCCAGGGCCACCAGGGCCTCTGTGGGTGTGAGAGACTGCATCTCGCCCAGCTGGGCAGAGCCGGACACAGTGTGCTGGCTCCCAGAGTCCAAGGACGGGTGTGAGCCGAGAGGCTGGGACTCTCCCCTCGTCCTCTGGTGGCGGCAGGACAGCCTAGGAGAGGACCAGAGGGCCTCCGTCCTGGGGTGGCCTGCTGGCCTGGCGGGCACTTACCTTAGCCTAGGCAGGAAGATGGGGTTTTGGTGCTGGGTGGGCACTCTTCCTGGGCGCTCTGCACCCCCCGCCCCCCAAGCTGGCCCCTGGCAGCTACTCCTCCTCCCGTGTGTGGCCCCGGGTGGAGGGAGGAGGCCAGCCTTGGCCTTCACGGCTCCCTGGCCTGGGTGGGACAGAGCCCTTGCTACTCCCATTTGTCTTTGTTTTCCTTAACTGTGACTTACCGAAGACCAGAATGGAGAGAGAGATGAGCACGTCCTGGTTCTTTTGGGAAAACCAATAATCTGGTCACGTCTGCCACCCATTGGCCCGTGCCGCGGCTTGTGGCTGTGGCTCTGCTGAGCAGGAGGGAGGATGGGCGCTTGTCGGGCCTTCTGTGTGTCCCCCGCACCCTGCTGCCCCTGCGGTGGTGCGCGGGTGTGTCGGTGGTCCCAGAGCTGGAGGCCCCGCCCCACGGGGAGCCAGGGCCTTCTGCGGTTTGGGCCTCGCTGCCCCGGAACTCGTCTCTGCCTGGTCTGTGGGCTCCTCCCCACACTGCCATAGGGGTCTGTGGTGATGGAGACCGAGAGGCTCCCCACACGTCCCGCCTGTGTGTGTGCGGTCAGCCGGCCGTGCTCTTCCCTCCGCGGCCCTGCTCTCCCTCCCTCATGACTGCGTGGTGCTGACCAGTGTGCAGCACGCACACGGGCAGCCATGCACACGCACCTCACGCACACACAGCCCTTCCCCTGTGTATGCGTGAGCACACGAGTGCACATGGCCACAGGCTGTGGGGCTTGACCCTGGTGACAGCCTGGCCACTGGCGTGTCCACTCCCCGGCCGTCCCCTGGCCTGTGCGATGGTTGGGGCACGTGGGGCGAGCAGCTCACGCCGGTGCCGTCTCCTTGCAGTGGTGTCCATGGGCTCTGCGGACCATCAGTTCAACCTCGTGGAGATCCTGTCCCAGAACTACGGCCTCCAGGAGCCGTGCGAGCCGGCTGCGGGAGACCCAGAGAAGCCTGAGGGGGAGCTGGAGAAGGACTTCATCGCCCAGGTACTCGGCTGAGCGGGTCCCTCTGCCCTTGTGTGGGTGGGGCTTCCTGGGCCAGACCCCGTTGCTGCTTTTGGTGGAACTAGTCCCCCGGTTGTTCAGATCTCACTGCCTGTGTGTCTGTCTGGGAAGCACGAGGCGCTGTGCTGGGAGCTGAGGTCATGGGGGGTCAGGCCAGACCCGGTCGTGCCCCTGGGGCTTTAGGGCTCTAGGCATTAAACCCACTGTTCTTTTTTGGCCTCAGAATCCTCTTTATGTTCTTAAAAATTCTTGAGGATTTCAAAGAGCTTCGTAAAGGTTATACAGTAAATGTAGTGTTAATAGAAATATCAGATGTTTATGAAAATGAAAAAAGAAATCGGGATGATTGGGCGATGTGGTTGGTGACGTTTCTGAGTCTCGGTTTCGGCTCGGGTCCTGATCTCAGGGTCCTGGGATCAAGCCCCACATCGGGCTCCCTGCTTAGCAGGGAGCCTGCTTCTCCCTCTGTTTCTGCCCTTCCTCCTGCTTTCTCTTTTTCTCTCTCTCTGAAATAAATAAATAAATCTTTAAAAAGTAAAAAATAACTTTTCTAAAATAAAAACAGGTTGGGGTTGCCTGGGTGGTGTGGTCGATTTTGAGTGTCTGACTCTTGGTTTCAACTCAGGTCCTGATCTCGTGGTGGGATCGAGTCCCATGTCGGGCTTTGCATGCAACGGGGAGTCTGCTTGGGATTCTCTCTCTCCCTCTCCCCCTCTCCCTTGTGTTCTCACTCTCTGTTATCTCTCTCTGGAGTAAATGAACTATTGGAACTTCATCAAGATCGAAAGCTTTTGCACAGCAAAGGAAACAGTGGACAAAACCAAAAAAACCCCAACAGAATGGGAGAGGATATTTGCAAATGTTTTATCACATAAAGGGCTAGTATCCAAAATCTAAAAAGAACTTACCAAACTCAACACCCAAAGAACAAATAATCCAATCAAGAAATGGGCAGAGGACATGAACAGACACTTCTGCAAAGAAGACATCCGATGGCCAACAGACACATGAAAAAGTGCTCCACATCACTCGGCATCAGGGAAATACAAATCAAAAGCACGATGAGATCCCACCTCACACCGGTCAGAGTGGCTAAAATTAACCAGTCAGGAAACGACAGATGCTGGCCAGGATGCGGAGAAAGGGGAGCCTCCTCCAGTGTTGGTGGGAATGCAAGCTGGTGCGGCCACTCTGGAAAACAGCGTGGAAGTTCCTCAAGAAGTTAAAAATAGAGGACCCGGCAATCGCACTACGGGGTATTTACCCCAAAGATTCAAATGTAGTGATCCGAAGGGGCCGTGCACCTGAGTGTTCATAGCAGCGACGTGCACAACAGCCAAACTATGGAGAGAGCTGAGATGGTGTTGAGCAGATGAACGGGTAAAGGAGATGTGGCCCACAGATACAGTGGACCACTACGCAGCCATCAAAACCCCCCAAATCTTGCCATTTGCGACGACGTGGATGGAACTAGAGGGTATCATGCAGGCGAAATAAGTCAGTCAGAGAAAGATGGTTATCATGTGGTCTCACTTGTGTGGAGTTCAAGAAACAAAACAGTTTCATAGGGGAAGAGAGGATAAAATAAAAATCAGAGAGGGAGGCAAACCATGAGCGACTCTAACTCGAGGAAATGAACCGAGGGGTGGGGGAATGGGTTAGCCCAGTGACCGGCACCAAGGAGGCCCATGATGTGGCGGGCAGTGGGCGTTATATGCAGCTGAGGAGTTGTTAAACTCGGCCTCTGAAACTGAAATGCACTGTGTGTTAACTAAAGTGAATTTAAATTTAAAAAGTACTGAAAATGGAATAAATAAATAAATCTTTAAAAAAAGAAAACCCCAAAACAGGTTGGGGAGAGGAGTGGAACAGCTTTCTATTTCTGTAAATGCAGAAGCAGGTGTGAGACCCCGGCTGCTGTCTTTAAGGCAGACGCGTTCATCTGTTGTCCTTTTGGTTGAGGTGTGAATCTGGCCCTTCCTAGATGAGGGGAGATAGTCACCCACCTTCTCACACAAGGTGGGTCCACGTCCAGTAAGTGGTGCGGTGGTTGCAGAGTGCTTTCTGCAACCGTGTCCTGTGAGCTTTCTGGATGTGCTTGCATTAGAACCCAGTGGTGGTGACCTTGGGGTGGCTCTTCCCCCGTGTGATCCTGTTACCTCCTGCATGGGGAGAGGTCTGCCCCTACGGGCTCTCCAGCCTGCCCTTCTTGCAAACGTAAGCTCACGCTACAAAGTCTAGGACACCACTCGTTAGTACCGTGGATGGGGGCCTTTAAACCACGTAGCTGTGGAGGCCAGCAATCCGCGCTCACGTCCGGCAGGGCTGTTTCTGGTGCGGGCCCTCTTCGTGGCTTACACGAGGCTGCCTTCCCTCTGTGTCCTCACGTGGCCGAGAGTGAGCATGGCACGCTGTCCGGGGTCTCTTCAAGGACCGACCCTGCTGGATCAGAGGCCCATCCTCACATCCGATGGCACTAATTCTTCCTGCGAAGGTCTGTCTCCAGATACAGTCACATTGGGGTTAGTGGCTTAGCACGTGACTTCTCAGTTCATGGCGATGTCAGCACTGATTTCACCAAAAGGATCCCAGGGCTGGGGGCTTTTTATTAGCATGATCACGGGGTCATCCGAGTCTGGAGCCAAGTATCGCTTGGTGCCACTCGTCCTATAACCAAAGACAGAAGTCTTCTCTTCGGGAAAAAAAACAATTTAAAAAGTTTAAAATGAATTTAAAACGTCTCAAAATTCACCAAAAACTAAAACTAGCCACGGATTAAGTATATCTCCTAGGTTTTCTTCAGATAGAATTTTAAAAAACTGATTAAAATCAGAAAAAGATAAATGCGTCACTCACATGTGGAACTTAAGAAGCAAAACGGATGAACACAGGGAAGGGAGGAAAAAGAAAGATGAAAGCGGAGGCAAACCATGAGAGGCGCCGACTCCAGGAGACGAGCAGGGCTGCCGGCGGGGGCAGGGCGGGTGGGGCGCGGGCGCTGGGTGTCCCGTGCGGCTGACGGAATCTGGATTCCACCCCGAAACCAAGGCTATACTCTGTGTTAACGAAGTTGAATTTAAATTAAAAAAACCAAAACCTGATTAAGAAAGAATATAATTTCCAAAATAAAGGCAGAAACACTGCCGTTCGGTATCAGCTTAAACGATACTGCCGGTTTACCAGGCTCCTGGTGTCAGATCCAGATTTTCCAAAATTCAAGTTTTTTACTCAAAAGCCTGAGTTTTGCTGTTACAGCAGGCACAGGTGGTCGTCTGGAGGAGACGCCTGTGTGGGGCCAGATAGGAGGCCCGTTGCCCCCGCATCGCCCCCTTCCAGCCCCTGTGTCCTGCGAGAGCGGGGCCGCTGCCCCGGGAACCCTTGGGCCCTCTGGGCTGTGGCTGGCACCCCCGAGTGCCCCCTTTACTCACGTGGGAAAGGAGAATGGCGTCCGTGGAGCGCATGAGTGAGATCCGGAGCAAGGCCCAGGGCCCCTGGGAGGGGGACGCCCACCTGGACTGTGGGGTGCTGTGCCCCGGGACTTGCTCCGTCAGCCGGCGCACAAGCTGGAGAACTGGAATAATGCCGTCTGGTCCCCGGAGCGTTGCTGCGGAAGGGTCCCAGGCGCCCGCCAGGATCCCTGGGCCCCCATTCTCCCCCAGCAGAAGCACAGAGAGCAGGAGGCGTCAGGAACGTCCCTGTCAGTGGGGTCCTGTGAAGGTGGGAGGGGTGAGGATGTCGGGGGACTGACGGGGTCCCGCGGGGGAGGACACAGTGCGGCTGGACGGCGCCAGCTCAGGAGAGGAAGGTGACGGTCATGCCCGTCCTCCTTCCCAGTGGGCTTCGTGGGTCCCCGGAGCCTCACCCATGTCCGTGCCCTGTGGTGGGCCGCAGCCCTCCTCGTCATTCAGCTGGGCTGGGGGTGCTAGGGGGGCGGCCCGCCGCGTCTCTGTTGTGTCGGTGTGGCCGCACCACTCCCTGCTTATACTGAGGGCTTCTTTTAACCCGACGTGGCTGCGGGGTTTTACCAGCTGTTCCTTTCCCGTTGGTCAGGACATCGGTCATGTTTCCCTTCTGACGGAGTGACGTCCCACGTCATGCTGGCTTTGCAGACGTTGAGGCCGCCTCTGTACTGGGGTGAAGCCTGGGCTGGACCCTGTGGAGTGGGGAGGCCTGCCCTGGACCCGCCCTTTGAGGCTGGGGACCGGGGGCACAGAGCAGGGCTCTTGGGGAGCAGTCTGGTCCCTGCTTCTCCACGGTGCGGGGGGTCTCTGGATGCAGGACCGGAGTCCGGCTGGGGGTGGCTGCTGTGACCTTGAGCAGCCCCTCCTGACACAGCCCTGACCCCTGCAGAGCAGTGACATGCCCCTGGATGAGCTGCTCGCCCTCTACGGCTACGAGGCCTCAGACCCCGTCTCAGAGCGGGAGAGCGAGGGCAGCGACACCGCCGCCAACCTCCCAGACATGACTCTGGATAAGGTGAGCGGACGGGGGCAGAGCTGGGAGGACAGGTCAGAGTGGCCTTGGGCTGGGGCTGGGGGGAGGCGTGGAGACCAGCGAGGAGGAGGAGGGGGCGGCTCTGCTCTCCGGGTCCCAACAGGGCAGGGGACAGTGGGGCGGGCTTCATCACCGGAGGGGAAGACCACCTGCTCCGTGGGGAGAGCTGGGACTCTCGTTCCCAGCCCGCAAGGCTCGCAGGGGCCCCTCGCTGGCGCCTGGTGCCCGGCCCCTCTGTCGGCAGAGGGGAAGGATGGCCCAGGCACACGGGTGTCCGGAGTGGGCCTGTGGTGTCGGTCACCGTGTTTGCGCCATTACTTGCTGTGACTGTTTTCTTGAGACTGTGGAAACAAACCACAAACAGGTTTTCTGCTTTCTTGTTAAAAGGAACAGATAGCGAAGGATTTGCTTTCGGGGGAAGAAGAGGAAGAGACACAGTCATCAGCTGATGACCTGACCCCGTCTGTGACCTCCCATGAGGCCTCCGACCTTTTTCCCAGCCAGAGTGGATGTAGGTGTCTCTCTGCCCTGCCCTTGGCCAGGCAGGGCCGGGGCTGCAGGCGGGAGGGGCCTGAGCGGGGCATGTGTGCCCAGACGCTTTGGACCCTGAGGGCGCCCTGACCTGTCGCAGCTCCCCGGGGCTTGCAGCCTTCCCCACGACCTGTGAGCGGAGCCGTAGGGGCGGTGGCTGACCTGAGGAGGGGGCAGGTTGGTTCCTGAAACTGCAAGTCTGTTGGATCCAGGGCAGTGCCTGGAGACCGCCCTCCCCTTGGCCCTGGCCGCCGGCGCCGCCTGCGTGGCTGGCCGTGGAAGGTGCCGTGGTTCAGGACCCGGCGGGGTGGCCACCGCCACAGGGCAGGCCTCCTGGGTCCCCAGTCCCGTGCCCGTTGCACAGTCCTCTCTGGCCAGGGGTGGGCCATGCTCCGTCTCGGAAGGGCACAGTGCAGGGGTCGGGGAACGGAGAGCTGGGGGGGAGGTAGGGAGATGCCCCAGGGCCCGCTAGCCGGGGTGGGCCAGCCAGGGCCACGGGCACAGCTCAGCTGCTCTCCTCTCCTGGAAGCCTGCTTCCTGGCCAGTGCAGACGAAGAGCGTGGATCCCCCACGTCGTCCGACACGGAGGAGGACCCCCTTCCTGCCAACAAATGTAAGAAGGTGAGTGGCTCTGACCCCTGAGCTGGGCCGGGGACTGGGGACTTCCGCAGCAGCTGTGGCCCTGTGCTGCGGCCTGAGCTCCTGTCTTGCAGCCTTTGGGCTGGACCTCAGCAAACTGGGGTCCTCAGGCCTCACCCTCCCTTGTCCTGAGACTGGCCATACCAGATAGACACTGTCACACCCACCCATGCTCTCCTCTGCCTCTCATGCTCAGGACCCCAGGACTGGTCTGTGGGCAGATGGCACAGAGGAACCCTGGGCTCTGGTGGCTACCCTGGGGCCCCCATCAGCCCAGACTCTCTCGGGCCTTTGCCTTCGTAGGAGATCATGGTTGGGCCTCAGTTCCAAGCCGAGCTCAGCAGCCTGCAGTTGGACCGCCATGGTGAGAAGTGTAAGTGGGGCCTGGTGGTTGTGGGAGACGGGGAGGAGGAGACACGAGAGCCCCATTAGCCAGGAAGGGACTGGCTGCCTGCCTCCTGGAGCATTTCCCAATCCTTGGAGGGAATCTGAGGGGCGGGAGGACCTGGCGGCGTCCCCTCCCTGCTCCCTGTTCCTCAGCTCAGCTGTGTGGTCCTGCCATCAAGTGCAGCCAGCACCCTAGTCCCCTGTCCTCGGCTCCCCTTGCCCCCGGCTCCGTCCACCCCATCCTGCCCGAGCCCCTGTCCTCGCCTCTGCGGGCATGCTCACCTTTCCCCGCTCGGGTCTTGCCATGTCTGGGCCTTGTCCCAGGTGTCCTTCAGAGATGGGTGTCCCCCTGCCGTGTGCTGTCCTTAGGGGGCTTGCATCCCCATCCTGATGTCCCCGCTGGAACGTGGAGCGAGGCCTGTTGTCCTTTGAGATAGGCGCTGCCGTGTTTGCTTACAGGTGAAGAGATGGGGAGTGAGGTCACCTGGCTGTTGAGCCGAGTCTTGTCTTCTGGCCCCACAGGCCCTGCGGGTTGGGGCCGGCACCCCGGGCTCAGGAGTCTCCCAGGATGATTCAGCCACTGAGACTGGCAGTGAGGGGGCAGATGGAGGAGACAAGGCCTCTCAGCAGAGACGTGGAGGCCCTGGGCTGGAAGCTGGGACGTGGTCTTGGTGGCACGTGCTTGCTGGGCCGTAAGCGGTGGTGGGGGGAGGCAGGACGGGGCCGGTCAGCTGGGTCGTGGAACCGTAGGGTGAGTCTCTGTGAATTGAGGACGCGTGACATCCTCCCCCAGAAAAGGGCAGCCGTGCACACTTCCTAGCTCCTTCCTCAGAGAGTCCTGAGCACGTGCAAACCTCCTTCTGGAGCCCCAGCCTCCGGGCCTCTGCCTCTTCCAGGGAATGGCCGGCCCTTGGTCCCGAGGTGTCCCTCTGCCCCCCCAGCAGAGGTTAAATCCATCCGTGTGGCACATGGGTCTTACCATGGCGTGCTGTGTCCTGGAGTGTCTGTTGTGCTGGTGGTTGGTCGCACGGGTGTTTCTGTGCGGCTCGAGCGGTCCGTGCTCCTTCTGGGATGGGTGATGCGAGTTGTGGCCCTGTGGGTGCACGTCCCACACGCGCTGTGGGGTCTGTAGCTGAGGAAGGGAGACTCGTGGCTTTAACTGGCGAGTCTCTGGGACTAGGTTGACCAGCTGCTGCAGACGTCTGATCGGGCCCCTGCTCGAGGCTCTTTCTGCAGTTTTAAGTGGAATCGCCTTTCTCCTCCCGATCTGTGTGTGTCCCTCTGGCGTTCTGGACGCTAGGCCGCCATGGGCTGTGGGCACCGCTGTCTGATCGTTAGCGTTTGCTCCGGCCGTGCCGTGTGTGTGGGCCGCGAGGGCGTCCTCGCAGAGACCGTTGCCGCCACCTTCCCTGCTGCGCGGGAAGCAGCGGCTTCGCTTGCACGTCGAGTGTGTGGTTGGGGCGCAGGTCAGGAGGCCTCCAGCCTGTGCTTTGCTCCGGCCCCTGCTGAGTGGCCCGTCGCACGTGCGTATGTTGGGCTTCTGCCCGCTGGTCTCTCGTGGGACCTGGCTGTCCCCGCGCTGTCTTCGTCATCGTGAGTGGCGTTGGAGACGATGTCTGTCCTCCAGCCTCGGGCCTGGTCCTGCGTCCATACAAGCCGCTCGTGAGCTTGTCGGTGGCTCGATTTCGATGAGGGCTGTGCCGAACCCCGAGGTTACTTGTGGGTCGTCCTTATGGGGACGCCGTCGACCCCTGCAGATCCCGCGTGCCGTTCCCCTCCTGAAACTGGCGGGGGTGTTTCTGCCGCAGGCCTGCACGCGCCTCATGGCTCGTCTGTGCTGGTGCGATCGATCCTCGGAAAGATGTCGCGTCGGTCGGTTTCTCTTCGTAGAGATGCGGTTTGTTTCGGTTGGTCTTGCGCACGGTGGATTTGCTGATCTCGCTTTTCCACGTCGGTACTCCGTAGGTCCTTTTGTGTTTTCACATGTATGTGACTGTGTGACTTGTGAACGATGGCTTTATGTCGTTTCTTTGCAGTCTTCCCGTCTTTGATCTCCTTTCCTGGCCGTGTCGTGCTGGTGACACCTCCCGGACGGAGTGAGAAGAGAGGAGAGACTGCATTGTCTTGTTCCCAGACTTGGGGGACGTGTCTGTGTCCCACATAGTACGTCCTTGGCTGTAGGCTGCTCGGGGCGCCCTTTATTGGACGAGGACGGTTCCTTCTGTTGGCAGTGGACGGTTCGAGTGCTTCTCTGTGCTCTGGGGCTGGTTGTTTTCTTCTCCTTCACCCTCGTGTTGATGGGCTTTCAGATCCTAAACCAGCCCTGGGTTCAGGAGCGGACGATGCTACCTGGGCACGAAGTGCCGTCATCGGTGGTCCGGGTGTCATCCTTCTCTGCCACGTGGGAACCAGGCGGGGCCCCCGGGGGTGCCCTGGCGGGCGCTTCTGACACAACTGTCCCGGGGGGAGCGGGAGAGCCCCAGTCGTACCCGTGACGTGACCCCAGCCCTCCCTGTCCACAGTCTATGAGAATGATGACCAGCTTCTCTGGGACCCCAACGTCCTTCCTGAGAGGGAGGTGGAGGAGTTCCTGTACCGGGCGGTGAAACGGAGGTGGCACGAGATGGCGGGGTCGCAGCTTCCAGAGGGAGAAGCTGTGAAGGACAGTGAGCAGGTGGGGCTGTCACCCAGGTGCGCAGCGCCAGAGCGTCCCAGGTTGAAGGGCAACGGCTCACGTGTCTGCGGGGACCGTGCAGGGGCAGGAGGGGAGGGGGTCAGGCATGAAGGGGCACGGGGAATGGCAGGGCCACCCCAGGAGGGCGGTGGGGAGGACTGCCATGAAGGTCCTGCCCAGTGTGGTCATGTGATGGTGGCAAATGCAAATGAGAAATCCTCATTATGGTGGAAATGATGGTATGAGCACCCCAGTGTCCCCACCCCTGAGACTGGTGTGAACCCTCCCGACGTTGCCGCCCCCGAGAGTGGTGTGAACCCTCCTGATGTCCCAGCCCAATAGTGGTGTGAACCCTCTCGACATCCTTGCCCCTGGGAATGGTGTGAACCCTCCTGACATCTCCACACCTGAGAGTGGTGTGAACCCTCTTGATGTCCTCACCTGAGAGTCTTGTGAACCCTCCCAACGTTTCCTCACTGAGACTGGTGTGAACCCTCTTGGCATCCCCGCCTGACAGTGGTGTGAACCCTAACCCGATATCCCCACTCTGGGACTTGTGTGAACCCTCCCGACGTCCTTACCCCTGAAGCTGTTGTGAACCCCCGTGATGTCCTCACCTCAAGAGTGGTGTGAACCCTCCCATTGCCCCAGCCTGACAGTGGTGTGAACCTTCTCGATATCCCCGTCCCTAACTAAGATTGGCTTGAACGCCCCCATCCCCGCCCCTGTGGTGTGACCACCCTGTGACATCCCTGTCCCCAGAGGGTGCTGTGACTGCCCCCTGGTGTCCCTGCCCCACAGGGTGGTGTGAACACCTCTAGCTGTTTTTCTGGGGTGGGTGGGGTGGGTGGGGTGAGGTGAACAGGCAGGAAGTCTGTGGCTTCTCCCCAGGCGCTCTATGAGCTGGTGAAATGCAATTTCAACGCAGAGGAGGCCCTGCGGAGATTGCGGTTCAACGTGAAGGTGATCCGAGGTGAGCGTGTGGCCGCGGCCCTCCCTGCCCTTCGCTGTACCGCGTCCCGGCTGCCGCTGACGCCACGGTGCCCTGCCTCTGCTTGCAGATGGGTTCTGTGCTTGGAGCGAGGAGGAGTGCAGGAACTTCGAGCACGGCTTCCGAGTGCACGGGAAGAACTTCCACCTGATCCAGGCCAACAAGGTGAGGACATTGCCCACCCTCCTCCCGCCACATCTCCCAGGGGCGCTTTGGGGCTGGGAGGGGTTCAGGAGACCAGGCACCCGTCACCCCCCACAGTGGGTGCAGCTCACCTTGCCGGCCTCAGGGCAGGCTCCCCAGAGCCGTGGCTGAGCCCCAGTGCCCACCTCTACTCTCCCCATGCCCCTGGATTCTTGTTCTGGTCTCTGCTGATGCCTGCTGGGCCATCTTCCCGTCCCCAAAACGAAGGCTCCAGACACTGCTTTGGGGGTGAATGTCAGTAGTCTTTTCTGTTTGAGGTCCTTTGGCCTGGCTTTGCCATCTCCTCGGCGCAGGGCCTAGGGCCCATGCCGCAGGGCTGACCCCTTAACTGTGACCCTACTCGCAGCCCCCGATCTCCCGATTTCCTCAAAGGACATGGTCCTTCTGCCATCTGCTGCAGACTGATGACAGGGGGCGCTGCTGACCGCAGGTTCTCCTGCCTCACCCTAGACCTGGGTCACCGTTGGCATCTGCACGTCCCATGGTGAAGCCGTTTGCCTGTGGCTCCGTGCATGATGCCCAGAGCCCTGGCCCCTCAGCTGTGCGGTATGGGACGTGTGCCTGGTGTGTTCCTGTGGCTCTGTCTCACTTTCTCTCTTTCCCTCTCCCTGGGGCTCCCCCACCACACCTCTCCTCTCATTCTGTCATCCTGTCCTGGGGTCCGTCGCCCGGGCTCCTTCTCACAGCTCCCGGCAGTGTAGGGAGTCGGGAAGGCCCTGGCAGAAAGCGGGCTCACGTGTGGGCCTCAGTGGCTTCTCCCAGGAGCTTGGGGGTGATGGAGGGGCCTGCTGGTTGGGGTCTGCTGTGGGGTCAGACCATGCTCAGCAGTCTGGGCCCAGCGCGGCGTTGGCTCTCTGCCTCGTGGCCTGACGTGGTTCCCTGCGCGCTGTTTCCGCCACGGCCCTGGCCACTTCTGTGTCATTGGCACAGTGCCTTTGTTTCCTTTGTGCCCACCCACCCTGGTGATGGCTGTGGCCTCCCTGTCCATGCATGTCAGGCTCTGCTGGAGCCAGCCCCGGGGAGACCACAGAGGACTGGACTCCTGGCAGGACACGTGTGCTGAGGGGGCTCACTGAGCAGATAGATCATATGTGGGCCTTGTTCCTCCTGCGCTGCAGGCCCTCCCTGGGCCCCAGCGTCCTGTCCCTCATTCTGGCAAACAGTGCGGGGACTCCAGTGCCGTTGCCGGCTGGGTGGTGGGGGGAGAACCTCCAAAGTGGGAAGATGCCCCGAATCATTAGATTTCTACGAGTTTCTTCTGATTGAAGTGGGGTTGGCACACAGGTCCCGTTCGTGTCAGACCTGCACCAGGTGTGCGGGGTCGGGCTGGATGGCTCCCGGTGTCGGCAGGCAGCACGATGGGTGTGGTCACCCTCTGTGGCGTGCGACACTGTCACAGAGTCACCGAGTGTGTTCCCTGTGGTGGTCATTGGGTCTCCGTGATTTATCTTCTGCCCTAAGAGGTTTGGCCTGTGGGGTCCGGCTACACGCTGGGCACGTGTTTGTGGCCCCTTTTCCAGGGTACTTTACACATGAGGAGTTTTTTTGGTTTTCTGTGTCGTGTAAGTATGATCTTGAGTTGGGTTCCCAAAAGCATAGTGTGTCCTCTGACGGCTTGTTCGCCCTTGTGAGCAGCTCTCCCGCAGACTGTCAGTGCGAAGCGTGGGCTCACACGCTGTCCCCTCTGGGCAGGGTGGCTGTCCCGGGGTCTGCACCAGGGGTTGTCTCTCCCCGTCTGCTGCCTGTGAGGGGCGGGGTGATGCCGCTGTCTCCGGGACCTTGTGGTCGGGGGCAAGGAGGGTGGATACCGGACACGTGGGCCTGAAGTGAAGGATAGGGTGCCAGGTCCATGCCGGTAGGTGGGGGGGGTCTCAGACAGGTGCCGTCCTGCTTTAGGTGAGGGGATGTGCCTCGGGCGGGTTGAAGCCGGTGGCGGGGGCTGTAGGCAGAGTCTTGATTTGACCAAGCGTGGTGGTGCTGGGACCATCCCCACTTGTCTGGAGGTGACGCATCTCCTGTCCCGCAGGTGCGCACACGGTCTGTGGGGGAGTGTGTGGAGTACTACTACCTGTGGAAGAAGTCGGAGCGCTACGACTACTTCTCCCAGCAGACGCGGCTGGGCCGGAGGAAATACGGCCCGTCGGGAGCCACGTGCGTGCGGCGGGCTCCCAGGGCCCTGGGGTGGGGAGGGTGGGGAGGGTGGGCGTCCCGGGCAGGTGTCTTTCCTTCACATCGCGCTCTCCCCACAGGGATGCAGAGCAGGACCTGGACAGCAGTGACCCTGATGGCACTGGCCGCCCCCGCTCCTCGCCACCCCTGCCCCCTGCAGCTGACGGCCTGGGCTCTGAGCAGGACCCCTTGGCACGGATGCACACAGGTGAGAATGTGGGGCAGGTCCCTGCCCATGGGGGTGTCCTCTTCTCCTTGGTACCCTCATCTGGGCCCCTGGGCTCTACCCCAGAGAGTGGTCCATGCGGTGTCGTACGTGAGTGGCCACGGGGACTTGCTGGCTTGTTGTGCGGCAGGGTACTTACTACATGTGACCTGTGGCCCTGGGTGCCACGTGGGAGGGCACGGGGGTGTCAGAGGCTCCCTGGCATCTGGGTTCAGGGCCACACAGGAGCAACATAGGGCCGGCTCGGCACTGGAGTTTGTGCCCATGAGCATGGAGGTAAGCCTGAGGACCGCAGCTCTGAGTCTGCCGCATGCTGGGGTTTCGATTGTGCCAGAATCTCGTCAGTTCAGTGGTTTGCTTAAAGGGGGCCGCACCCGCCTACTTCTGGCTTTGCGTATCGCACGTGTGTGCAGAAGCGTCTGACGTCTCACATTCACGTGCGTTTTGCCTTCAAGCTTCTCTTACTCTGTTTTGTTTGAATTTCTTTGAACTTGCTGTGTTCTGGTCACGATACCCTCCCAGTTCGGGGCCGTTAGCCTAGGTGCACTGTTTCTTCTGTGTGTGTGTGATGCCTGGTGATGGCACCTCCGTGTGGAGGGTCCGCAGGCTTGGCCGGACCCGTAGAGGTCGGGTCGGAGCCCGGTGCCGGTGGCAGCCTGAAGGCATGAGTGTGATTTTAGCTGGGCACGCTTCAGTTGGGACGGCTGGGTCCCCGGGGAGCCGGCGTGGGTGCTCTGAGGGTCCAGCCTCAGCTGTGTTCTCCTCGCAGAGCTGCTCAGTGTGGCCAGCGTGGCCAGCAGCGTCGGTGAGCCCGGGGAGAGTTCCGACAGCCTCCTGCCCTCGGATCCGGGGCCTTGTCCGTTCCAGCAGCTGGATGTGCCCCCAGCCGCGCCCCTGCCCAGGCGGCCCCCAGGCCTGGTGGAGCCGGCCTTCTACCCCCCGGCCACGGCACCCCCGGAGCCCGGCAGCAGCCCGAGACTGGCTGTGGACTTGGCCCTGCCTGGGGCCCTCCCCGAGGAGCTGCCCCTCATCGCCAGCCGCGTGGGTGTGAGCGGAGAGGCCGAGGAGGTCGTCGCTCCCGCCCAGGTGGCCTTGTCTGTCACCGAGCTTGGACTCATCGGCATCGGGGACGTGACCCCCTTCCTGGCCGCCCGCCCGGCGTGCCCAGGCCCCGGGCTGCACTCGGAGCCCCTGTCACAGTGAGTGCGGCCCCGCCCTGGGCCCCCGCCGTGGGTCCCCTCAGCCTCGGGCTGCTCTGTGGAGAGGGAGGGCTGTGCCCCGAGGACGGCTTGGCCACATGCAGCGCCCTCGGTTGGTCCCTTTACTTTTATTTTCTACTTTTAATTTGGCTTATTTATTTTCTTGACTAGGTAATACATTCATATGGTTCAAAACCCAAAAAGGTACAAGTGGGGCCAGTGCCAGGCTCCTCCCACCCCTGTCCCCACCACCGGCCCTCCCCAGGCGCCCAGGACAGTGCTGCCTCCGGGGAGCTTGTCCACCAGCACTAGTGAAAACATGGTCTGCTGGGGGGGCGAGGTCGGGAGCCACGGTTTCAGCCTACGGCACCCAGGCTGTGCCGTCCGTGGGACCGCACTGACCCTTTCTCGGTCTCTCCCCTGCAGCTGTAACGTGATGACCTGTTGATCCCTGGCCGCAGGCGGGCGTGCGTGGCCCGGACTGGACGTGCGGCCGCCGCGGGGCCTGCCTCCGCCAGTCTTCCCGACCCTTCCCCTCCTCGTGGGCCTCGGGTAGCGCCTCCTCTGCTCCAGAACGCAGCAAGGACATGGCGCGCGGCGGCCGGGCCTGCCCTGCCCTCACACACAGCCTGGCGCCCTCGGTGCCCGGCCCCACTGCCGTGCTGTCCAGGCGCAGTACCCGGTGGGTGGCCAGAGGTGGAGGGCCCGGCCCCGTGTAGCCAGCAGAGGTGAGGACGGTGTCCCTGCTCCCTCGGGGAGGTGGGGAGATGGGGCAGGGTGCTGCCCCCACCAGCAGCCTCCGCCCGGGCGCCCTCAGCACTCCGCTTGGCTCCATCTCCCTGCCCCTGGTGGGGTCATGGGCTGCCCCAGCCCGGGGGTTGTGGGTGGCTGCTACTCGGTGCCAAACCCCGTGGGGCACAGAGCCATATACCTCGACGTCGGCCGCGCCCGCCCTCGACCTCCACCCTGCTCTCCACTTCAGGAAACGCCGCACTTTACGCCCCGCCCCCCCGCCTCCGCCCCCCCCCCCCCCCCCCCCCCCCCCCCCGCCTCCCTCTCCCCAACCCGGAGCAGCGTCGGGTGTGGGGTCGAGGAGACAGGTGACCTGCACCCCCCTTGGTATCAAGGCACTGTTGCCTGCAGCCCCGAGGGGCTGGCTCCAGCCCGTTCCCCTGACCCTGTGGGTCGTTCTTCTGTTGAAGCTCCCCAGCACGATGGTTTGGGGTCCTGGTCCTTCTCTTTCCCAGCTTCCCCCGTTTTATTTATGTTTCTGTTTACAAATTGGAGTGGGGTCCTCCACGGGGCCAGGGCAGCGCTCCCCAACCCCGGTGTTGCCAGGAGAGGGTTTTGGATCGAGCGCATCTGCAGAGTCGGCCTCGACCTTCCCTCACCCCACCAAGGACCACACTGTGAAGTGAGAACTGCCTTGAATCCCTTGCTGTTTTATTTATTAAACTTGATTTGAAACCCACGGGTGCCTCGTGGTAGATGGGGAGGACGGGGTGTGAGGAGGTGCTGGGGGTTGGTCACTGGGTGGACCCTGTGATCTGGGCTGAGTCGTGGCCGAGATGGCACAGGGCTGTAGGGGGCTGGTCATGATGCTCCTTTGACGTGAGGTGGGCCAAGCCACAGCCAGTGCAGGGGCGGGGAGAGCCTTGGGTCCCATGGAGGAGGCCCAGGGTAGAGGCTCCCACTGCCTGCGGCCCTGCCAGCACTCGCTGGCGTCCGTGGTCCGGATTTCGGCCACTCTAACACGAGCATGGTGGGAGCTCTTCCGTGGCCGTGGCTTTTGAAGATGGCTGTGTGCGCCTGGTGCTCGCTTCTCCCCGGGGCTGTGGGGCCACGGCCGAGCTGGTCTGTCCCTGGGTGGCTCGACGGCCACCGTGTTCCTGCTCTGCCGGCCGGAGAAGGCCCCGCTCCTGCACGTGTCGTTTGTCTTAGGGTTGCTGGATTGAGGACTCCTGGTTGACGTTTGGTCCTGTGTCTGTTGTGTTTGCGGGGGGCAGGGCGGGTCTGCCTACCAAGGGTAGGCAGGTTGGCACGGATCCCCTTGTGCCTTTCCTGAGCCTGGGACATCCTGGCTGCCATTGTCCCAACGTCTCTGCTGCCCCTAGTGTCCCGCTGCCCAAGGGGATGCCAGCCTGACGCGCGCCCGCCCCCACGGTCTCTTACTCACTGCTGGTATATTTTGGTTCTAGTACGTGTACTTGGCCTTTTCCATTTCTCTACTGAAATTCTTCATTTTCCACCTTTTCCTGTAGACACTTTACCTGAATCTTTGCTCTTTTTGCCTGGGGGTCATTTCTGGATACTCCTCTTAACTGTTTCTTCTGGATGGTGGGTCCCCCTTTCTCTGGTTTTGCCGGTTGTCGTCAACGAGTCATTTTCCTCCTGTTGACGCGCACACACGAGGGCCCCGGCCGGGCTGTCCCGTGACTGTGGCTGCTGTGACAGTTGGCTTCTAGCTTCCTCGCGCTGAGATGGCAGCTCTGGCACCGGAAGCTGCAGCCCGCCTGTGCCCTCCCCAGGAAGCACGGGTCTTTCCCAGCAGCTCCAGAGGGAGCCCTGGAGTGAGACTCGTGCCTGGGACTGAACGAGTGACAAGCCAGGCCTGGGTCAGCTGCCCACCTGCAGGTGCAGAACCTGCCTCCCTGGGAGGGGACGGGCTGCCAGGGACGAGACGGGAGTGTGGGGGCGCGGAGGCCTGGGGCCGTGTAGGGCAGATGCTGGGAGGTACGTTCGGGAAGAAGAAGGAGCGGAGTTGTGCTTGAGGGAGACTGACTGGGGCTGGACATGGCGGGGTGGGGGCGCCAGACAGGGAGCCCTCGCTGTGAGGACCGGCCTGTAAAGGAGTAAGCAGCTCATGTTCTCTGGCTGTGACTCCGGGGCCGCTGACCTGGAGGGTCCCCAGCGCAGGCTGTGTCACTGCCTGGTGCCTGCCGGGTGCTGGCCCTGCCCCTGGAGCTCAGGGCTGGGGAGGGGGATGATAAGCAGACACAGAAATGGTGCTGGAGCTCAGAGGAAGTGGTGGACACGGGGGTGCGGGGCAGGGGGAGGACTGTGTCCGAGGTGGCAGCTCAGCCCGAGATCCAAATTCGCCAATGCTGGCTTCTGACTCCAAGGTGACCCCAGGTGCCTGCTGCACCGTCTCCTGTTCCGTTAACCCTGCAGGTGCTTCCTAGGGAGTTGGGCTCCCAGTTGGGCAGGTCAGCCCCATCTCAGGGCTTAGGTGCGTTCTGTGCCTGTGACGCACACAGCCAGGCTGAGGTGGTGTCCATGCAGATGTCAAAGCCCCCCAGGGGCGCAGGCTCGACCCCAGGGGCAAAGCCCCAAGTCTGGGAGAGCTGCCACTGCGGCCTCTCTGAGCCACGAGAGCATACTTTCAAGTAATCTCTGCACCCAACACAGGGCTCAAACTTAGCCCCCGGAGAAGCACAGAGAGGCCGGGAGTGGTGCGCTCGGGGCACCTGCTCTGTGCCAGGCACCCTTCTGCCCACCTCCCAGGCATCTCTCCCTTATCCCCATGGCACTTCCAAGACACCTGGGGGCCCATCACGTTGATGAGAACTGACCACCTGAGCTCCACTCCCTGGGGGGTCACCAGGCACCCAGGACTTGGCTCCGTCTCTAGGGGACACAGATGAGTCCCTGGGATCCAGCTGGGGTCTCATTCTGCCACCTGCAGGTTGGGGAGGAGCTGTCCACGTCCGGCTCCCAGCCCGGGTTCTGTCCCTCAAGCAGGCCTCACTGGCCTCGGGTTCTCTCTGTAAAGGGTTAAAGCAGATTCCAAGTATGAGGACTCCTTGCATGGGGAGGCCCCCAGCTAGCAGGGATGGGAGCCCTGACCCTGATCCTAACCTTAATCCTAATCCTTGCTGCCCTCATTAGATTTTAATCCTGACTCTGCCCAGGTGTTTTAAGGACAGTGTGATGGGTCAGCAGGGAGGGTTTTTACTCCAGACCATGCGGGCCCTCGAGCCACGGGAATAGCCCACGCTCCTTCCTGCCCACGGTCTCTGTGCCCTAGAGACCACATGGGTCCCACCTCCCCTAGAGACCTGGGTCTCACCTGTGCGCAGCCCAGACTCAGCCATCCCCAGCACCACACCTCCTCTGGCAGGCTCCTCCCAGCCAGGTCCCCACCCCACACCCAGCAGGTGCTCCGTAAAGAACCCCCCCTCCTCTCCACTCCAGTTCTCGGCTTCCCTTTCTCTGCCCTGAGAATGAGCAGTCATCCCAGGGGACAGTGAGCAAAGCTCAGTAATGAGGAGGTCCGGTAACATTTCTGGAACGTTTTGCCGGGCGTCGTGGATCCTGTTCACATACAACTAACTCACCAGGTGATTCTCACAAAAACGATGATCTATTATGCACAGCGTGACCGTGTGAACCAGAGTGAAGGAGCTGGAGCTCTGGACCTGCCTCTCCCTGGGGTCCGCCCCGCTCCGTGAGAGACAGCGGGAAAGCCAGTGAGCAGAGCAGGAGCCTACCTGGGGTGAAGTGCTGGATCCAGCTGAGCCTGAAAGTGGACCCTGCAGCAGACCCCGCCCCCGGAAAACCCTCCTTGGAGGAGGTCTGGGGACGAGGAGGAAGCTGCATTGTTTTAGGATGTGTGCCCGCCTCCCCCCCCCCCCCCTCCCCTCTCTGCAGGCGGTTGGAAAGCGGGTGGTTACTGGGAATGTGCCTCCCACACACCGTCTCCCCGCCACACCGCAGACGGAAAATCCGAGTCCAGGAGTTTCCATGCTGGCCGTTGTCATGCCGTGGGGGGGGGGGGGGTTGTGGGGGAGCGCCTCTGCCTGCTCCTCGGAGCAGGGAAAATTGTCTGGGGCACAGAGGAGCTGGCCCTCAGACATCCCACCCCCCAACCCTAATGGCCAAAGAGCTTGAGATCTGCTGTGCGCTGTCCCCCAACTTCCAACAGCTTGGCTCCCTCCTGGAACCCCCTGCATCCCACAAATGCCAATTCCAGTCACCCTCCCAGGGAGCAGGGTCAGTGCAGCTCTGCGTGGAGGCCCCAGCTGCCTGACCCTGGGTCAGGGGCTTCCTGTCTCTGGGTCTGACTCCCTTTATCCCTAGAAAGGGCTGAGAAACATCCTGTTTCATGATTGCTGGAGGAGCTGGGCTGGTGAATGTGTGTTCAAGGTCAAGAGAGCAGACCCTGGGGCCCCCCTGGGTTCAAGGCCCCGCTCTGCTTCTTTCCACTGTGAGATCTTGGAAGAGGGACAGAACCTCACGTGCCCGGTTTCCTGCCAGGTCGGAGCAGGGCTCTCTCCAAGGGTTCTCAGATGGATTCGGCCCAAAGGGTCTAGTCATGGCCCCTTTGAGCCTCCTTGCCCCGGCTGGGAGCTCCTGACTGTTGGGCGCCTCCCAGCTCAGGGCTCCCTAGGACCTAGCGAGGGTGAGGGGCGCGCACTCTTCACTCGTCTCGTTGTGAAGCTGGGACAGTGAGTGTGCTCCACGGGAGCGGGGCCGGGTGCCGACAGTCGCCAGGGTGGGTGTCGAGGGACCCGACCTTCCGAAATGCCGCGCTTCCCAGGAACGCCGGGGTCTGCGGCACTAGGCGTGGAGAAATCCCCTGCACTGAAGCCAGGACACAGCAGGTTTTGGGCCCTTCCAGACCCAAAGGTATCAGATGTATCCAGCCCCTGGGTACGAGGAGACCTGGGGACACGTCCTGCCGGGTCTGCCCTCCCGCGCGCTCCCGCCGAGTGTGCGTGGGGCCCTTCCTCCCTTCTCGCCACCCGCCCCTCCCCGACTCAGCCGGCCCGCTCTGCGGGGGCGCCCTGGACCGCTGTCCCTCGGCCTCCGCCTCCGGCCCGCGGTGGGGGAGCGCCGGGCGCGGACGACCCCTCTCGCCTCCAGACCCGCGTGGGGTCTCCCGCCGTCCCGCGCACGCACCCTCCTCCCGGCTCCTCCCGGCTCGCGGCTGCCGGGCGGGGCGGGGCGGGGGCAGAGTCCGCCCCCTGCCCTCGGGCCGCTCCGCCTCCGCCCCGCCGCTCCCCTGCCTTCCCCTCCACGCCCCGCCCCGCCCTGGCAGAGCCTGGCTCCGCGGCCATGTGACCCCGCGGCCGGGCCCGGGCGCGACGGGACGCGTAGGGACCGGCGTCGGGGGTCGCGGGCGCGGCCCGGGGCGGGGGCGGGGGCGGCATGGAGCGGAGGTGGGTCTTCGTGCTGCTCGACGTGCTGTGCGTGCTGGTCGGTAAGAGCCGCGGGGACCCGTGTGTTGGGGGAGGACCCCGCCCCCGGCGGTTCCGCGCCGCGGGCCCCGAAGGTTGGTTTGGGGGGGCGGGTCGGGGAGGCCCCCTGGGGGCGGGGGACCCCTCGGACGGCCCGCGCGCCCCGGTGCCTTGCGTGCGCCCTCCCGGGCCTCGGTTTCTCCTGGCAGTGCCAGGACCGCCGCCCGCGGCAGCAGGAAGCCCCCGCCGAGGGGTTGCACGCGTCTCCGGCCGCGCCCGGCCGGGCCGGTGATTCACGAGGGCGGCGGCCCGGGTTTGGGGCGCGGCCTGGATCGCCCGGGAGGACCTCCATCCCCTGTCCCGGGATCGACGTCCCCAGCGGGCACACAGCTGGTCGGTGGGAGGCGGACCCCGTTCTCGGGCGGGGAAGAGAAGGAGAGAAAGTCTGGGCCCCCGGCTACCCGCGCACCTGGCGCCTCGGGCGGCGCGCGCCAAACCTGTCGGGCGGGTTTGCGGGCCAGGCTGGGGGAGGGGGCGGCCCGAGGCCCCCTCCCCGCCCCTCCCCCAGGGTCCCGGGAACAAAGGCCGAGTGTTTGCTCTGGGGCCGTGCGGACAATGGCCCCAGAATTCTACCCCTGGCGCAGGGAGGGGCACCTCGGGCCTAAATCGCACCCCGCCCCTCTCCCTCCCCGTCCCCAGATGGGGTTCCTGCTTTCCGCCGGGGTCGGAGAGGTAATCCTGGGCGGGTTGCAAAGGCCAGGCCCTCCTCCTGAGCGCCAGACCCCTATACCTGACTCCCTTGGAGTGGGCTGGTCGGCAGCAGGAAGACGTGCCTGGGGGCGTCTGGCCCTAGGCGTCATTTATTGAATGCCTGTTACTATATTTAAACGTCTGCGTGGCACCTACTGTATGCCAGACCAGAAGTGACAGGCGCACAATGAAACTGTTCCCTCCAAGCACTCGGTCAGGGAGGCTCCGCTTGTCCAGAGAGGGTCCGGTGCCTGCGGGAGGTCACACAGCCGCTGCCAGTGGTGCTGAGATGAGTTTGTGTGTTGGCCGCTTCCTGCTGCGGTGCTAGAGGCCCAGGCAGACCTGGTCCCATTCTTGAAGCTTCCACCCATAAAAAGTTGAGTTCCATAGGGTGACCACGGGGCCCTGATGAAGATACGGGGTGTGTGTCAGGGTGGGGGTTGTAGAGGCGGCGAGGTTCTGCAGGTGTCTCCCATGAGGGCATGAGCCAGTGTCTCAGGCAGAGAGAGGCCCCAAATCCAGTGCTGGGAGCTGTACTTCCTGAATCCACAGCTCCTGTTCCAGTCCAGGGTGACAGTCTCCAGTGGGAGGGGCTGGGGCTGGGGCTGGGTGGGGGTGGCAGGAGCTGGGAGGCTGACCTCGCGGCCCAGGCCCCTTGTGCCAGCCGCTGCCCTGCTCCGGCTGCAGGGATGAGGCTTGACTTGCTGGCTCAGCGTATTCTGGCTCTGGCCTTCCTCAATCCCCAGCTTTGGGGGTTCTCCTCTCTGGCTTTGCCTCCACCCTTGCGCTCACTCCCTGCAGCCAGAGGGACCCTACGAAACATGCGCTGTTCCTTTGCTCCAAACTGTCTGGTGTGTCCCGCTCACTAACAGCACGATTCCCAATCTTAGAATACCCTCCCCGCCCCCTGCCACCCCCCCCTTCCGGCCCTCCAGCCCTCCAGGCGTGGGCCCACCTCTCGACCTTTGCACAGGCTGGTGCTGCTGCCTGGCTTTCTTCCCCAGATCTGCCCTGACCTTCCTTAGCTCCTTCAAGCCACCGTCTGTGTGTGGCCCACCTGACAAGCCCATAGCCCCCGATCCCAGTCGCCATCTCTAACTGTCACGGCTCCATGGGCAGACCTCTGCGGTTCCCCACACTCAGCGCTAAGTTTGGTCTTTGGTGAGGAGGAGTTGGCCTTGCCCCCGCCTCCTGTGGTATTCAGGCCACGGAAGAGTCAAACCCTTTCCTACTTGTCCACCTGTCGCGCTGGGGGCAAAGGGCGCTCTGCCTGTGTTTGTCACCCTCCGCTCAGCAGGGCCCTGGGACCCCAGAGCCCCAGCAATGCCTGTCATTGTTCTGCCACGCTTGTGGCTCCTGAAGGTGTCTTTGGACCGAGATGTGGAGGCCCTTGGTCTGTCCAGGGGTCTTCAGGCATCTCAGCTCAGGGCCTTAACTGTGGTGTGTTCCTGGGCTCTCCCGCTGGCCTTAGAGCGAAGGGAGGGAGGTCTCTCTAAAAGGTGCTTGTGAGACACCTGCACCGGCTGAGCCCCGGGAAGGCTCCGGGGACAGCCTTGAGCATGGTGGAGCCTGCTCAGTGCTCAGGGAACTCAGGTGTCACGCGGTGCGTACACGTGAACGGTGCCAAGAGACACACAGAACAGACGTTTCATTCTGGGAGAGTGGGGCCTGGGCGGGTGCTCAGGGAGGCCGGTTGGAGCTCAGGTTGGAAGGACGGCTGTCAGAGCAGTTTTGGGTGGTGAGGACGTGTGCCGGGTTTCTGGTGCCGGGGAGGAGACAGGAGGCTGGAGAGAAGTGAAGATGGGGAGGGGGTGGGAGATGTGGGGTAGGGGCTGCGCGACGGGCCTGGGAGGACTTGGGTGTTTATCTGAGGATGATGGGGAATCGCGAAGGGCTTTTGAGGGGCCAGCGGCCTCCCAAGTGTCAGGTTGGTGCGGAGGTGAGAAACCAGGGGTCCCAGGCGGTGGCCAGGGCCATGCGAGGGATGCTGGGGGCATGTAGCTGGGGGGAACCGCATGGCCACTGGCTTCTCTCCCCTGCCCCCAGCCTCTCTGCCTTTTGCCATCCTGACGCTTGTGAGCGCCCCGTATAAGCGAGGGTTCTACTGTGGAGATGACTCCATCCAGTACCCCTACCGTCCAGACACCATCACACATGGGCTCATGGCTGGGGTCACCATCACGGCCACCGTCATCCTTGTAAGGCAGGAGAGGCTTGGAGGCTGGGGGGCGGGCTGGTCTTCGGGAAAGAGGACCCCCTTGGGCGCTCCCAGAACCCCAGCCGACTCAGGGGGGCTGGCAAGCCGGACCCCCTCTCCGTGGGGAGGGCCAAGGCCCAGGGAGCCAGGGCCGGTGGAGGCGCCCGCAGCTGGCGTCCCAGCCAGGCCGCGAGGCCCCTCAGCTGCTCGCTGTGCAGGTCTCAGCCGGGGAGGCCTACCTGGTGTACACGGACCGCCTGCATTCCCGCTCCGACTTCAACACCTACGTGGCAGCCATCTACAAGGTGCTGGGCACCTTCCTGTTCGGGGCCGCCGTGAGTCAGTCGCTGACGGACCTGGCCAAGTACACGGTTGGCCGCCTGCGGCCCAACTTCCTGGCCGTGTGTGACCCTGACTGGAGCCGTGTGAACTGCTCCGTGTACGTGCAGGCGGAGAGGGTGTGCAGGGGGAGCCCCGCCAACGTCACTGAGTCCAGGTGGGTGTCGGGTCAGCCCTCCTGGGGGCCCCCGGCTGCGGACACCCCCACCCCTGGGGGAGGGGCCTCAGGAGCTGGGTGTGGGAGAATGGGAGGTTAGGGGTGAGGCCGGTGGGGCTGGGCCCTGTGGACGGGCAGGTGTGGGGGCGTGAGGCTGGGCAGATGGCGGCCCTCTGTCCTGCTTCTCTGCTCTGCGCTCTCATGGTCTCTGATCAACTTTTCAATTAATTGCCGTTCTTATTTTCTTTATTATTATTTTTTTTAAAAAGATTTTATTTATGGGGCGCCTGGGTGGCTCAGTGGGTTAAGCCGCTGCCTTCGGCTCAGGTCATGATCTCAGGGTCCTGGGATCGAGTCCCGCATCGGGCTCTCTGCTTGGCAGGGAGCCTGCTTCCCTCCCTCTCTCTGCCTGCCTCTCTGTCTACTTGTGATCTCTCTCTGTCAAATAAATAAATAAAATCTTTAAAAAAAAAAAAAAAAAGATTTTATTTATTTATTTGAGAGAGAGACAGAGTGAGAGCGCATGAGAGGGGAGAAGGTCAGAGGGAGAAGCAGACTCCCCGTGGAGCCCGGAGCTCGATGTGGGACTCGATCTTGGGACTCTGGGATCGTGAGCCGATCAACATGGGATCAACATGCCGAGCAAGAGGCAGTTGCTTAATCAACTGAGCCACCCAGGCGCCCTGTTTTATTTTTTAAATAAGTTTTGCAACACATCAAGTTTTTTTTTTTTTTTAATTATTATTTATTTATTTGACAGAGATCACAAGAAGGCAGAGAGGCAGGCAGAGAGAGAGAGAGAGAGAGAGAGGAAACAGGCTCCCCACTGAGCAGAGAGCCCAATGCGGAGCTCGATCCCAGGACCCTGGGATCATGACCCGAGACGAGGGCAGAGGCTTTAACCCACTGAGCCACCCAGGCGCCCCACACATCAAATTTTTTAAAAAGATTGCATTCATTGAGAGAGAGAGAGTGGGCACCAGTGGTGAGGGGGGAGGGGCAGCGGGAGAAGCGGGCTCCCTGCAGCAGGGAGCCCGACGGTAGGACTTGATCCCAGGACCCCGAGATCATGACCTGAGCCAAAGGCAGATGCTTAACCATCTGAGCCACCCAGGTGCCCCCTTATTTTCCTTTTTAAAAAATTGAAATAAAATTCATGTAGCTTGGGACACCTGGAGGGCTCAGTTGGTGAAGCCTCTGCCTCTGGCTCAGGTCATGATCTTGGGGTCCTGGGATCGAGTCCCGTGTTCGGCTCCCTGCTCAGCAGGAAGCCTGCTTCTCCCTCTGCCTCTGCTGCTTCCCCTTTGCTTGTGTGTGCACGCCCTCTCCCTCTCTCTCTTTCTCTCTCTGCTCAAATAAACAAATAAAATCTTTAAAAAATATTCGCATAGCTAAAATTCACTAGTTTAACTGTTTTAATGTGTACAGTTCTCTGGTTTTTAGTTATTCCCAGTGTTGTGCATCGTCACTCTCTTAGTCCAGAATATTTTCATCACCCCGAAAAGAAGCCCCATGTCTGTTGTTAACCAGCACCCTGTGAGTCCATGCCCCCCTTTGTCCCTGTCCCCAGCCCCGGGTACCCACGAGCCCCCTCCTGTGTGGCTGTCTCTGCCTCTCCTGACTAGTCACAAGTGTGGAGTCCCACACCACGTGGCCTCTCGCGTCTGGCTTCCTGCATGTTTTGGAGCTAACCCGTTGCGGCGTCCGTGTGATTTTGCTGCCCCCATTTCGGGGTCTTGATCAGGGGCTGTATCTCTGTGATTGTTTTGTCTTCCTGACAGATGAGCCTTCCTCACTGTGTAACACCCTTTGTCTCTCCTCGTGGTTTGGTTTTCCGGGGCTGTTTTGTCTCCCAGTGGTGTAGCCATGCCCGACGTCTTGTGATTGCTGTTCGCATGGAATGGTTTTCCCCTTTTTGTACTTTTCATCCTATTTGTGTCTTTGAACCTAAAGTGAGTCTCTAGCATACAGGGTAAAGTTAGGTTGTTGTGTAAGTCTGTTGTGTAATCTCTGCCTTTTATCTGGAGAGGTTAATACGTTTACATTCATTGTGACTACTGATCAGGAGGGGTTCTGGTGTCTTGCTTTCTACGGGTTGTTGTTTTGCTGACTTTTGAATTTCTTCATTACTGCCTTTTCTGTGAAGTAGTTATTGATTATGCCAAGAGTTTGTGGCCGTTATGGAGCTACCCTCTTAGGAGATTACTTTCACAAATTACATTTTTACAGATTGTTCATCAACTTAGATTTATAATTACTATGTTACGCAGTTGTGAAAAAGTTGAGATAGGATTGGCGTATGTCACCGGATTAATTTCAGGTGCACGGCATAACCCCATTTGTATTTGGCTTGAAGTGGTCGGCGTGGCAGTCTGGCGTACACGCGGCCCTGCGTGCGCAGTTACTGTTACTGGGGTCTCTCAGGTGTTTGTGGGAATCTGACTTACTGTCTAGCAGCCTTTGTTTCTCCTGGAAACACTCCCTTTTGGTATTTCTCACAGGGCAGGATTGGAGCACGGAACTCTCAGTTTTCGTTTATCTAGGAATGTCTTCATTCCTCCTTCACTGTTAGGGGATAACTTGGCCAGGTGTAGAATTCTTGTTCCTCTGACCATGTCGTCCCGCTGCCTCTGGCTTCCGTGGCTTCTGACGAGAAACCAGCCGTGACTCCCTCGTTCAGGAGGAGTCTCTTGTCTTGCCGCTTGTGTCTCTGTGAGTTTCTCCTTTTGGAGTTCATCCAGCTTCTTGGGTGTGTCAGTTAATGTTTTGGACCCAATTAGGGAAGTGTTCAGCCATTATTTCTTCGAAGACCCTTTCTGCCCCCATGTGCCTCGCACTCTTTGGGCTCTCACTGTGTGGGTGGTATCCCTGGGGCCACTTCCATTTCTCCATTTTTTTACTCTCCACGCGTCCGGCTGAATCGTCCCCATCAACTAGTGTCTGTGGTCACTCTTCTGCCCGCTCAGATCTGCTAGTGATCTTTTCGTTTTGGATAGTACTGTTTTCAGCTCCAGAATTTCTGTTTGGTTCCTTTAGGTAACCTCTCTCTTTGTTAGTATTCTCTATTTAGTGAGACATCGTGTAGCTCTTTGAACAGATTTTAAGTGATGGTTGAAACGTCTTTGTCCCAGAAGTCTAGTGCCTGGGCTTCCTTGGGGACACCTTTGGTTAATAGATGTTTTTCCCCTGTGTTGGGCACCCTTTTTTCCCCTGCATGCTTTGTACTTATTTGGTTGGGAGCTGGGTGTTTTTTGTATTGTCATGTAGCAACTCTGGAAATCGCATTGAACTGCTGCCCCCGGGATTGTTGCTGGTGCTGGTCCGCTGTTGTTGGTTGGCTGCTTAGTGACCTTTCTGAACTTGGTTTGCAAATTCTGTATTCTTTGTCCCGTGTGGTCATGAAGTTCTTTCTGTTAGCCGAGTGCTCAGCTAGTGCTCGATGGAGCTTTCCTTAGACACCGCGCTCAGGAGAAATGAGTCTCCCAGAGTTTACCGATGGGCTCGCTGTGCTGCGCTGGGGCCTGCTGCCCGAGCTCAGCCAGGCCTCCCGGGGGCTGTGCTGCTCCTGAAGGTCAGCCTGAGGTGGGGGCTGAGGGCTGCTTTCCTGAGCTTCCCGGGGGTCTTTGTGCTCCCTGGACCGTGGTGATGAGCACTCGCTGCAGAGGTCTCCGAGCAGTGCCCCAGGGAGCTGCCTCAGTGCCGGGAGGGGGACAGCCCCTAGGATGCGCCAGACGGGGCCGTGCAGACTGTCTCAGTTCTGCGCGGAGAGGTCTGCTCTGCTCCTTGGTACATGTGGCCACTGTCCGTGCGATTCCGTTCGTGTAGGTGTTTCTCATTTCTCTTGTGGGCGGCGAGACCTTTAGGCTTTCTTTATCTGCCACTTTCTTTTGTCCACTGACATCCTTTTTGCTAAAACTTGTATTGAATTCTGGCGTCAAGTACTGCAGAGGAGAGATAACTGTGGGGTTAACTGTGTGCTGGACACAGTTGTCTGCCCTCGTTCCGAGTCTGTGGCCCAAGACGTCCTTGTCAGAGCTGCAGCTGGAGACTCTCTGTTGGTCAGAGAAGTGAAGAGGGGCCACGTTTCCCCCTAGAGCCCTCCCCGTGCCGGGTCCCAGACAACGGGAAACACAGTGGGATGCAGGCCCGGGGGTTCCGAAGGCCGATGGGAGGGAACTCCCCCACCTCCGAGCCTGGCCCCGGGCTGTGTTCTCGGTGCGGCCTCCTGACGCCGCCCTCCCCTTTCTCAGGCTGTCTTTCTATTCCGGACACTCCTCCTTCGGGATGTACTGCATGTTGTTCCTGGCGGTGAGTCCTTTCCCAGGATTGCCTTGTGGGACCGGCCCTGTCCCTGCCTTCCCTGGGCCTCGGTTTCTCTTTCTGTGGAAGGGGCGGGCTGATGGGTGCGGAGGCTCTGTGTTCCTGGCCTCAGAGCTCCCACCTGTGCCCCAGTGTGGGGGTAGCCCAGCTGGCTCCCAGGCTGACGGCCGCCCTCTGGCCCCCAGCTCTACGTGCAGGCCCGGCTCTGCTGGAAGTGGGCGCGGCTGCTGCGGCCCACGGTGCAGTTCTTCCTGCTGGCGTTTGCTCTCTACGTCGGCTACACCCGCGTGTCTGACCACAAGCACCACTGGAGTGATGTCCTCGTTGGCCTCCTGCAGGGGGCACTGGTGGCCGGCCTCACTGTGAGCTCCTGGGCTTGACACCCCTGCCCTGCACCCTCTCGGCCCCTCTGCTCCAGTCCTCCCCCCTCGGAGCCCATCACCCCACCCCCCACCCGCCCACTACCTTCCCCTTCCCCTGCTCCAGCAGCTCTTGCCTTCTCCCCCAGGTTCGCTACGTCTCTGACTTCTTCAAGTCCCGGCCCCCACAGCGCTGCCTGGAGGAAGAGGAGCTGGGACGGAAGCCCAGCCTGTCCCTGACGCTGACCCTGGGTGAAGCTGGCCGCAACCACTGTGGGTACCCGGTCTCCTCTTCCTGAGGCGGGGCCCCCGGCTGTGGGTCCAGTGGGTATCAGGCTGTGTTCGGGGCCCTGGCCGGGCTCTCCCCTGAGGTGGGGAGGGGGGCTCTGGACCAGCTCCAGGGGCCCTGTGCTGGTGGCCGGCGGGCCACCCACCAACCCCACCTCCTGTGTGCTGGACCCACGGTCTGGGGGTGCACAGGGTGGCCCCGGCGTCGGGAAGGGGGACCCTGTGCTCTCAGCTCCCTTCGAAACCCTTTTCTTGGAGGAGAGGGGAACCGAGAGTCCCAGATAGATGCTGATTTTGTAAAGTGTAACATATGTGTGGACTTTTAGTAAAAGAGAGTGTTTGATGGACACGTGGTATCAGCCTCCGTTCCTTCCTGCCGTTCTGAGCATGGTTCCTGCAGCAGAGTGGCCTGCGCCCTCCCTGGCCTCCCCCTGCGTGTCTTCATCTGGCTGCGGACTCGTGGGGATCACACCCTTTAATAAGCTGGTAAACCTCAGTGTTCCTGGGGCTGGGGGAACCCTAAGAGAGCAGGTGTCTAGTCGGGGGGTCAGAAGCCCCATCCCAACCTGGCGCTGCGGACGGCTTCGGGTGGGCGCGGTCTCGTGGGATGAAGGTCTTAACCTGCGCACCCTGGTGCCGTCTGGGGGTGGACTGCCCAGATTGTCCCGATGTCAAAACTGGGTCTGGAAACTGAAAGAACTGTTTGTGAACTGGTTAAATCAACAAGGGAATGAAAGTAATAGCCGAGCCTAACCCTCGAGGGCTTCCTCTGATCCCGTCAGGGAGGGGGGAGGCTCAGGGTAGGGGGGAGGCAGGAGGAAGCAGATACGGCTCCGCCCAGCGCCCGGGGCAAGGGTCCCAAGCAGCTAGGGAGGCCCCTGCTGTTGTCCTGGTCCCAGGGAGGGCAAGGGTTGAGGCAGCTGAGTTCAAGCCAGGGTGCAGAATTTGTCTCCGTGGCCGTCCCCTCGCAGTAGGGACGCTGAAAGCCCCCTCCCAGTATGGACTCCCCCATGGAAGCAGTGGGGCGGAAATGGAGATGGAGCTCAGAGCCTCCTCCGGCCTCCTCAAGGGTCCTGCAGGGCTGCGGCCTGGGTCTGCGGCCACGGGGCCTGAAAGCTCCCATTTGGGGTGTGGGCCTGAGGCTGGACTCCTTGTCCCATCTCTGCTCAGAGATACACTCTCTCCCTCCGATGGATGGGGACCCTGCCCTCGGATCCTGCCCTGGGATCCTCACGTCTCGCAGTGCCCACCTTTAACAGCCATACTTGGGGCTCCTGGGGCCTTAAGTCTGTCCGCGTCCGGCCTTCCTGGAGGACTTGTCCTGACTCTCCCCCTCTGGTCATGCAGATGGGGTCCAGGAGCAGCTCGTCTCACTCTGTCCTCGATGGACAACTCCCCACCACTCAGGGAAGTGAAGAGCAGGGCAGTAAAACAGACTAACTGTTAGAAATATATACTTTTTAAAAAAGGAGATGTAGGGGTCCCTGGATGGCTCAGTCGGTTAGGTGTCTGCCTTCGGCTCAGGCCATGATCTCAGGGTCCTGGGGTCAAGCCCCAAGTCAGGCTCCCTGCTTGGGGGAGAGTCTGCTGCTGCTTCTGCCCCTCCCCCTCTGCTTCTGCTCTCTCTCAAATAAATAAATAAGATCTTTTAAAAAAACAAGAGAGCAAGAGAGCTGTGTTTAAAACCTTAGTATAGGGAAGCCTCTTGTAATTGGGGAAAACAGAGAAAGTGGAATTGAGGAAAATCTGAGGTCTGGGCCAGAGCAGCAACTCGAGAAACAGAAGGCGCTGTGAGTGGTGGGTCCCTTGTGCAGGGAGGACGCGTGTGAGGTGTTGGCCTCCGGAGTGGCTGTGGTCAGGCTGGCCCCTCAAGACGATGGCAGAACGGACGGAGCTCCCCTTTGCAAGGACAGTGTAAACGGTGGGTTTGATTTTTGGACTAAATATGTGTCAAACAGGTTACTTATTTTTAAGTGTTAATGTTTCATTTGTCCCCCAAAGCTGTTTTATTCCACACCCCTTGCACGGTGTTCCGGCCAGGCCTCGGAGAGGTGGCGTCGCCTGGGGGCAAAGACGCAGCCCCCTGGGCGCTGGATGGAGACGGTCTCCCTGGCCGCCATGAGCTTGGTCTTGGTGTGGCGGCCGGTGGGGAGGAGGGAGGCCGGATGCGGCAGAACGCCAGCACGCTGCACACCAGCAACTCGGCCTCACCACCATGAAGCTGCCCGGGGCTGGGGAGCCTGGGCATTCCAGGACTCAGGAGAAGGCAGTGACCTAGCCCTGGCTGCATGTGGGGAGGGCGTGCCCAGGCTCAGGCGGGGGTGGGGGGGGTGTCTGTCCGTGAAGGGGGCGATGAGTGAGTCACTCTGTGCTGGATCTTGAGGACTTTTATGTCCAAAAAAGGAAAATTCTGCCCAAGTGAATTTTCTTAAGTTAAACAGTATCCATGCATTTCTTATTTTCCAAATGATCTCTATTTAAGTTACAACAACATAAAATCCTGAAAGAAAAACAAGATTATATTAATCTTTAATATAAATTAAATAAAATTAAGTGTAATGAAAAATTAATGTTGGTTACTGTGTGATATAAGAAGGGAGTTTCCGCCGTTCATTAGCTGTAGGCAGTGGTGGTGAGGGCCTCGTGCCCGCATTACCAAACACCTGTAAATGGAGGGAGACATTGTGCTGTAGAATTTAAAAACCTCTGCTTTTTCTTAATCCTCTCGACACATTTTCAGCGGCTGGACAGCTCCCCGGGGCTCCTCTGCCAGTCGGTGGACCCCAGCCACATCCGAGACAAACATGGCAGTATTTCCACTAGCTTTGTTTTTAGCAGTTGTGATTCGTGGGGAGAAGCAGCCCACTTCATACATTTGATAGCCCGGTTTTGGGTGAATCCGGGACTTTGGATGAGACTCTCCAGTTGGTGAAAGGCTGGAACTGCCGGCTGTAGGCAGCTGCCCTACGGAAGTGCACAGCTTCTCCCCATCGTGCCTTCTCCCTGCTCCCAGAGGAGCTGCTCACCTCTTCCGGTGTCAGGGACAAGTAGCCGCAATGTCGCGGCGGCGGCGGTGGCGGCGGCGGTGTGTCTGAGGCCAGAGCGGCCTCCCTGCAGGCCACATGGCTCAGGCCTAGAAGCTGACCCTTGGCACACTGCAGGAGACCAGATGGAGCTTGGGTGACCTAAACGGGAAGAAACCACAACAAAAAAAGCACGTTCCGTTTTCTCTTCAATCCAGTGAGGGTATTTCTGGGACACCCACGTGAAAAGTACACCTTCCTTTCCCCTCCGTGAAAGGTGCTCTGTGTATTAAACAGTTTTATTCTCCGGACGAAGCCAGGCCACGAGGGGTTTGTTCACGGTATGTTCCACGCCCGACACCGCCGGGAGGTCTACCCGGACAAGACCGCTGAGGAGCGGCCGGTAGGAGCTGCCGAGGCTTCCTGCAGCCTGTGGCATTTCCCTCGTCCCCATCGTCCCTGCCGGGGTGAGGAGCTCTCCACTCCCCGAGTCCTGTGCCCTCTGGGTTTCCTTGGTGACGGAGGTCTAAAGACACACTCTCCCACCTCTGGAGAGGACAGACTTCCAGCTCTGCCCCACCTCACCTCATCTCCACTTGTGGGGTTTGCAGTTTGTCAGGGTCCCCATCTGGGAAGAAGCGGGTGGAGAGTTCCCTGCAGGGACACCTGGGGCTTGAGGCTGGGGTTGGTCTGGCCAGGGCCTGACAGCCCCATCAGGGAGCTCTCCGGGCCTTTCCAGTCACTGCTATAGGCCACGTAGACCTGACTCCCTAGGGACACATTGGGCAGATGGATGTTTCTCTTGGTCTCCTTTGTGCAACCCCAAGGCTGGGACATGCACGTCGTTTCTGTGCTGCGGGGGGAGTACTCGGGGGCAAACTGATCTGTGCATGTGGTGCTTCTCTCCTGGGCCACTTGTAAGGCACCATTTGGTGCTTTGTCCAAGTAGAGAAGGCACTAGTGACATGTGGCCCTTTAAGTTAATTTATGAAATAAAGATCTGGCTTATCAGCCACGGGGGTCCTATTTGAAGCGTAAAATAAATGGAAGGTTAGATGAAGGGAAGTTCTGTTGTTGCAGGGATTCTACTGAGAACTTAGATCAATAGTAAGGCTGTTCAGTTAGGATTAAGGTTAGTGCTGAGGTCAGGATGGGCCAGGGTCAAGGTCATTCTAAGGGAGTGAGGACTCAGGTCCACATCCTTGGTGGCTGAATGTCTACATCAATTACTTGAAATTTTCCTGCATAAACAAAAGTAAACTGAAGGGAGAACTGGGTCACGGTGCTGTTGGGGGAGGTGCTAGATGGGCCCGCCGTGCACACAGATGTCTCTGCCCTCAGCCAGAGTGCACAGCCTTCTCCCCCTGAGTCCCTCAGGGGAGGGGATGACATGCGAGGGCATCGATGGTTCGACCACTTGAAGGAGATTGAAGTCATACCGATAACCTTTCCTGACCGCAGTGGAATAGAGCTAGGAATCAACATAGAAGGAAAACTGGAAATTTTGCAGAGAGATGGATCTCACACACTGTCGAAACACCAGCTGGTCAAAGTGGAAATCAAGAGTGAGAGTGAGGGGTACCTGGGGGCTCAGTGGGTGAGGGTTCCGATTCTTGATTTCAGCTAGGGTCACGGGATCAAGCCCCATGTCAGGCTCTGCGCTGTGCAGAATCTGCTTGAGATTCTTTCCCTCCCTCTGGCCCCACTCCCCACTCTCTCTCTCTGAAATAAATAAATAAACCTTTTTAAAAAAGTGAAATTAAAAAACATCCCGAGACCAACAAACATGACGACACAACATAGCAAAAGATATGAGATGTGGCAAAAGCAGTACTAAGAAGGACGTTTATAAATGTCTGAGTTTATTCTTTTTATTTAAATTCAGTTAGCCACATAGAGTACTTCATTAGTTGTCCACACAGCGTTCAACGATTCATCAGTTGTGTGTAACACTCAGTGCTCAACACCGCGCGTGCCCTCCTTCATGCCCATCACGCGGTTGCCCCATCCCTCCACCCTTCCCTTCTGTGACCCTCAGTTTGGTGCCGGGAGTCCAGAGTCTTTCATGGTTTGTCTCCCTCTCTGATTTCTCCCCCTTCGGATTTCCCTCCCTTCCTCTGGGGTCCTCTGGGCTATGCTGCTTATGTTCCACGTCTGAGTGAAATCATACGATAGTTTTCTCTCTGTCTGACTTACTTCACTTAGCGTAGTCCCCTAGAGTTCCATCCACGTTGATGCAGAATTTGGATATTCATCCTTTCTGATGGTTGAGTAATAAATAGTCCATCATATATATGATCCACATCTCTCTCT